GGTACAGATAAATATATTTGCAAAGCAAATATGCATATTTGCATACTTACAGAGGTAGAGAACAAATGTGTGGATGCCAAGGGGGAAATGAGGGAGGGTGGGATGAATTGGGAGATTGGGATTGACTGATATACAGGACTACGTGTAAAATAGATAACTAATGAGAATCTACTGTATAGCACAGGGAGCTCTCCTCAGTGCTCTGTGGTGACCTAGGTGGGAAGGATTTAAGGTCCAAAAAGAGGGGATGTATGTAGACATACAGCTGATTCACTTTGCTGTATCAGTAGAAACTAACACAACATCATAAAGCAACTATACTCTAATAAAAATTAAAAAAAAAAAAAAAAACTAGCTCCCTGAAGCCTCAAGTATTCAGTAAGCCATCCCACACAGAAACATGTTTTGACCGTCTTTCCTGAGATCTTTTGGGTGGTGCAGGCCCTCTTTGCCTCTGGGAGCCTTTGAAGGAACAAGTGCAAAGAATGGTGTGAGGACACAAAGGTCATGGTGCCCCCGCTTTCTCCATGTGGATCAGGTTGGGTGGGGAAGGTTTGCAGGGGAAGCAGGCAGGTGCCAGATCTTCGGAACAGGAAGAATCAGCCAGGGAAGCTGACTCTCAAGCTCTGCCTTCCTTAACTGGCCCCCTCCAGCCTTCCAGTGCTCCAGCTCTGGAAAAATCTGGAAGCCACTGCAAGTGCTAGATTCTGAGCCTTCTGCTCCAGCTACAATGTCTGTCTGCAATGCCTGTCCCTGTCTATATACTGTCCCTGCTCTTTCAGAGCTCAACACATCCCTGCATTTATGCATTCTTGTTAGCAAACACATTTTCACTGAGTGCCTACTGGAAATGGCAACCCACTCCAGTATTCTTGCCTGGAGAATTTCATGGACAGAGGATCCTGGTGGGCTACTGTCCATGGGGCAAAGAGTCAGACACAACTGAGCGACTAACACTGATACTATGCATTAGAGCAAGACAGACAGAGTCCCAATCCTGCTGGTGCCCTGAGTTCTTAGAAAGGGCTTAGTGTTCAGGCTGCACCAGGTCATTCAAGTGAGGGCTCTAGGTCAGACTGCCCAGGTTTAGCTTGGCTTGGCCACTTTCCAGCTGTGTGTGCCCAAGACAGTCACTCGGCCTCTCAGCATCAGTTCTCATCTGTAAAAGAGGATGATAACTACCTGCCTCATAGCACTGTTGTGTAGGTGGAGTGTAAATCCATATAAAATTCTTAGAACCCATTATACAGAATGAAGTAAGTCAGAAAGAGAAACACCAATACTGTATATTAATGCATGTATATGGAATTTAGAAAGATGAAAATGACAATTCTATATGCAAGGCAGCAAAGGAGACACAGATGTAAAGAACAGACTTTTGGACTCTGTGGGAGAAGGCGAGGGTGGGAAGATTTGAGAGAATGCCACTGAAACGTGTACATTACCATATGTAAAATAAATGACCAGTGCAAGTTCGATGCATGAAGCAGGGCACTCAAAGCTGGTGCTCTGGGACAACCCAGAGGGATGGGATGATGGGAGATGGGAGGGGGGCTCAGGATGGGGGGACATGTGCACCCGTGGCTGTTTCATGTCAATGAAAAAACCATCACTATCTTGTAAAGTAATTATCCTCCAATTAAAATAAATTAATTAATATAAAAAATAAACTTGGATTACCTCTTAAAAATATTCTTAGAGCAGTGCCTGGCACATAGTAAGTGCTCAATAATCATTCATTATTATAATTCTTCTTCTTAGTATTAGCATATTTCTCAGACTCCCTCCTTATGATGGCCCCTGCTCCTGCCTTCTAGCTGCCCCTCCTCTACAGTCCCTTAGAGCATCAGCAGCTGTGTGATACGGGCCTTTGAGGACTATTTGCCCTCATATTCCCGTATGTAGTGCAGGGACCATATTTATTCATCTCTATCCCAGGTCCTGGCACAAACCCAGCAACAGTGTCTCCAGGACTACTGTCAAGTTGGTGGGTAACACGTGCCCTCAACTCCAACCAAGAAAAGTCTCAGAAGCTCCTCGCTGCCTGGGCCCTAGAGGAGCCGCAGCTGGCCCTATCTCAGAGCTCACTGATGTTCCTCTAACTGTGAAGCCTGACCTGGATCCCACCCTCCTGAGCTGACAAGGGAGCAGGTCCTAGGCTTCCTAGAATGCTTCTCTGTGCTGGGGAGCTGGGGAGCTCTGCAGGGCAGGTCATCCCAAACACCAACACAGACGCCCCACCCATCGGGATCTCTCCCATGGTGATGTCTTACCTACTGGTCCCTTTGCCTAGAGCGCACTCTTTGCCTTTCACAGTCCTCCTGATCTGACGAACTCCTACTGATCCTTCCACACCCCCTCTTTCACAGTGCTTTCCCTTTCTTACAGTGTGTTGTTATTTGTTTACACATCCCTTCTGGAGAAGGGACCTTCTTATTCCTGTCGGGGCCCCCAGGGTCTGCCAGTGCCTGGAACAGAGGAGTTGTCAGGACAGTTCTGCCAACCTAAATTTTCAAATGAAAGTCTAGTCCATTGGTCTGTCTGCCCATGAAGGCACAGGTGCGAACTGCCACACTTGGACCAAGAAAACCCACAGGCCTTCCCAGGACACCTGCTCCATCGCTGGGACAGGAGCAGGGGGAGCAGCCGGGAACGTAAGCGTCCTGTGTGATGGGCAGCGGGCTGGCCTTTCACGGAGCTCTGGCCCCTGATTCTGGAACCACCCGAGGAGGTGGGTATGTGGGAGATGAAGACCCCCAGGCAGAGGTGGTTACACTGCTCCCCGAGGGAGTGACAAGACAGGGCTGGAGTCCAGCGCTCTGGCCCCCAGAGCCTACTCTTCCGTCTGTCCCAGGAGACAACAGATGTGAAGGCGTTTTGAGTCCTGCCAAGAGAGGAAACTGCAAAACTACACAATTGCAGAGTGTTACCCGCCACACAGAAAACGACTCTAGGGCGGGAGCCACCTGGGTGTGTAGTGGAGCGGGAGGGCTGAGGAAGAAGGGCTTTAGTAACAGTACTGCATCCTTTCTCTCTTCCTTTCTTTTAAATATTTATTCATTTATTTGGCTGCGTGGGGTTCTTTGTTTTGGCACATGGACTCTCTAGGTATGGCTTGTGGGCTTGGCTACCCCACAGCCTGTAGGATCTTACTGCCTGGACCGGGGATCAAATCCACGTCCCCTGCATTACAAGGCAGATTCTTAACCACTGGACTGCCAGGGAAGTCCCTGAATTCTTTTTTTAAACAAACAGTTCTTTTTTGCATTTTTAAAATTTTCGCTTTTTATATTTTTGGCCGCATCACATGGCATGTGGGATCTTAGTTCCCCAATCAGGGATCGAGCCAGCACCCCTTGGATTGGACTTAGGGAGTCTTAACTATTGGGCCACCAGGGAAGCCCCAACACTGCATTTTTCCAGGACTGCTGTCTGGGGGGAGGTGGCCCAGCGTTCTTCAGGGGCCGGGGAGGAGGGGAACCGGGTCGGGTGGGAAGAGAGGTTCTGATGGCAAGTCCAGCAGCCCTCCACCAGAGAGGCCCCCAGGGTGCCTTGTGGCTGCCCTTAACTAGGAGATCTGAAGGGCCCCAGTGGGGCACAGATAGCTCAATGAGGGGTTCCTGCCCTGGGCCTCCCATGACTGATGTTCAAGGTTCTGACACAAGCATCTCCTTGCTGCTCTCAGCCTCTCCCTGGGGCCCACAGTCTTCTCCTGGCATCCCAGAATGACCATCTGCCTTCCTTCCTCAATCATATAGGGCCCAACCCAGGCTCCTTAACCTAGCATTCAAAGCCCCACCTGCTTCTCTCAGGCTCACTTCTATCCTCTCTTTCTCTGCACCTACTAATCCTACTTATTCCACCTTTGCACATGCTGTCCTCTTAGCCTAGAAGGCCCTTCTTCCTATTTTGCCCAGTGAACTCCTATTCATCCTTCAAAGCCCAGTTTAAGTTTCACTTTCCAATGGTCTTCCCTGAACCACCCCCACAACCAAACCCAGACAGGATGGACCCCTCCCACCTTCACAGGTTTCCTCTACTGTGGCTATTTACACATCGCCTCCTCCTTCAGATGGGCAACTTTTTCAGAGCAACGATGTGCTTTATTCTTCTCTGAACCTCAGCGCCCTCTGGTCTCATCTCCTGGGCAGCTCTCCTGGGCTTCCTCGCAGATCAGCTGATAAGCTTTGGCCCTGCACTCACTCCCACGCAAAGAAAGGCCCTGCTCTTAGGTTAACCTGCTCTCCCACCCTTTGTTTCCTTTTACCCAGCTAGATCTTCACACCCACACTCTGCTGCGGGCCTGCCCATGCTCTCAGCATGTGTGGGCCACCTTTGCCCTTCCCATCTGGGCACTGCAGTCTACAGTGACCGTGGTGTGCTATGCAGCCATGACAGGGCCCATGCAAGGCAACTGTCCATGTTTGAATTCGACTTCAAGTACAGTTGGCTGGAAGGGACACAGGTCCTGGCCCCCAATGCACACATGCACACACAGGGCACACACAAAGCCCAATCCAGGCTCTCCGTGGACGGAAGGTCCATGGAACCATCAAATAGGAGGTGGCAGACAACTGCTGTGCCCTTGGTCCCTCCTCCCAGCCCAAGGCCTTGATCAGAGCCTGGAAGAGCTGACTTCTGGCCTGCCCCATTCACTGAATCCTATTCCCTCACATTCACACAGAAACAAAGAAAGGCAGGTTCCTGTCTGAGATTTTCCTGAGTAGTGAAGGCTGACATGGTGTTAGAACCAGTTCCCTGGCTCCTCTCCCAGGACACATTCCTAGCGCCATATGCTGCCATGGGTAGAAATGCCAGCTGCGGGACTCTGGACATTTGGCAGTGTCTTCCTGAAGTCTTGGTAGAGTGCAGGGTTCCACTCTCCTGCCAAGGCTGGAGGCAGCCCAACCTCCCTCCTAGCCATACACGCGCCCATGGTCTTAGGGTTGTGCTGAAATGGCTCCACGTCCCATGCTGGGAGGGAGTGATGGGGAGCTTACCTGCTAAGGGCCAGCCGTGGTCTCATGGTCGAGATATGTCAGAGTTTTTTAAGAGCTTGCAGGGCTGTGCTGGAGGGAGGCCTGTGGGAAGCAGAGAATGTGAGAATATTATACCACCGCCATCTGTCAACTTGCACTTGAGTTTGAAAAACGCACCCCCACATGGTGAGCACAGCCTCACTGAGAAGAGCCTCACAGCTGAGCTCCAGCTACCACCCCTTTTCCAACAGGGTCATCCCAGGGTCAAGATCAGACTCCCCGGGGGTGCCATCGTAGCCTCCTGACCCCACTCCCAGAGCTGGAAGTCCGGAGTCAACAGCCCCCGCTGGAGCTTCTGTGTTCTATTTCTGCTTCCCAGTGGAGGAACTCTCACTTTCAAGCACTCCTTAAGAAAAACCTCCCCTCATAGGCTCCCAGAGCACGAATCGTTGTAATTCATTCATTCTTTCTTCCATTATCCATTCATTCATGCCAGCATTCCCTAGCTACTTGGGAAATCTCTTAGGTGCTGCTGTCAGGTCTTATGGAAGCAGTCACGGAAAGGGACAGCCCAGGTCCCTGTATACCCAGGGCCAATGCCACAGCTCCCAATCCCCAGCCTGCTGGGCTCCCCTCTCCAACTGATCTCTGTGCTAGACATTGGGCAAAGCCCTTACACTCCACGCAGGACCACAGGATGCTTCCATCGATTTTAGCATGAGGACTCCTTTTCATTCGAAAGTATTCCTCAGAACTGCCCCCCACTGCGCACTTAGCAGCTTTTCTTTGAAAAAAATACAAAAGCTACAGGAATGTGCTAAGTTGTTCCAGTAATGTCTGATTCTTTGAGACACTATGGACTGTAGCCTGCCAGGCTTCTCTGTCCATGGGATTCTCCAGGCAAGAATATTGGAGTGGGTTGCTATGTCATCCTCCAGGGTATCTTCCCAACCCAGGGATCGAACCTGCATCTCTTATGTCTCCTGCATTGGCAGGTGGGTTTTTACCACTGGCACCACCTGGAAAGCCCTACAAGAACATAACGCTTTACAATTAACTTGTATTTTAGTGATCACAGCACCACTACATCTAGTTAAATAATGTTTATACACATTGGACACATTGTTATTTCTGTCTTCCATGTTTAAGGCTTTGACCCCTTGGAGATCCATTCATTCAATATTTGTTCAATGGGTATTTAAGGGGCATCTCTGGGATGCCTGGCCCTGGGGTCACAGGTTCGGGGTCCAGGTAGGGGAAAGAGCAGTGGCTCTGCATGGTGGGGTGTTTAGGCTCCAACCCAGCATAGACTGGTAGGGAGCCCTCAGCAGGCCACTTGGCCTCTCTCTAGCCCAAAATCCTTAACAGTAAAGTGGAGATGATCACCCTGACACTGGAAAGTCATAATAGGATGAAATGAGATAGAAAGCACCCAGGTTAGAGCCTGGCATAAAGCAGAAGCTCAACAAATGGGCACCAGAGGATAGTCATCATCATTGACCATCACCCTCATCATCATTATTGTCATTATTATCACCACCACCACCATCGCTGTGAATACCCTCATCGTCAGATCACCACCACTGCCACCGCCACATCGTTCTTCCCGTCTCTTGCTGAACCCCAAGAGGCCTGTCCTTGCCCCTCCAGTAGGATACACTGTAGTCTCCACCTTAAAATAGAGTCATGTGTATGCACATTTTCTTTCTCAAAGTCATGCCCTGCTCTATAATTTCAGAGCGGTGTGAAACTGGGTAAAGTACTTAACCTGTCTTAATCTGTTTCTGCATGTAAAAATGGGACAAGGATTAGTAACTCATGGAATTGTTGCAATGTAAATGCATATAAAAACTCAACACAATATCTGGGATGTGGTAAATGCTTAATAATTGCTGGTCATTATTACTGTTATTATTACACTTCTCCTAGCCTCTGAGCCCCTGAGAGCAGAGACCATGCCAAATTCATCTCAGTCTCCCCACAGAGTCTAGCACAAGGCTTTTCTCCCAACAGACACTAATGAATGTTTGCTAAAACAGTCTTGGAGGCTTACACAAAATCAGATGCAAAATAACTCAAGGGACAGGAGCATGGAACATGGTCAAGGAGGGAGAAGGATAGAGCCCTGATGAGACTCTGAAAACTTCCAACAGACCTCCTGAAGGGAGCCATTTGTTACCCAGGGAGCCAATCTGCAGATCTGCTAGGACCTTCAGCCATTCATTCATTCATCAAGCTGACCAAGATCTCATTTGGTTCAATAACAAATCCTTGCCCAGTGCCTTTTCCCCCCTATTTTAAATCTTGCTTCCATCTGGCACACCAGTTGGTCTTCACAGAAATGCTTGGAGGCAGTTAGAACAGGTACGAACAACCCATTTTGTAAATAAAGAACTAGAGACTCAGAGAGGTGATGAAACTTGCCAAAGGGCACATAACAGTCAAGGCCATGGTGGAAAGTAGAGCAGGGTCCCATTCATGACACGGACTCCTTCCCACTGGCCCCATGAGGTCAAGCACTTTACAAATCCAGAATCGCTCATTCCCACTGCCCACTTTGCTTCTCAGCAAACAAAACTGAATTAAGTTATTTTGGTGCTATTTTAACATGCTTGTTGGAAAAGAAAGACGAGAAGTTCCATGAGTCAAGGGATTATGAGAACCACAACAGTGTAGGGGCAATTAAATGAATGGGTGCTGACCCCAGATGGCCTGGGTTCAAATCCTGACTCTGACATTCATTAGCTGTGGGACACTGGACAGAGCACTTAAGCTCTCTGTGCCTTGATTTCTTCATCTATAAGGAAAACTCTTTCCAGCTCTCTGCGGGACTGTGACAGTTAAATGAACTAATTTATCTGCAGTATCTAGAATCCTGGTACATAGAAAGGGTTAGTTGTAATCATTATTTTTTTTTTGTATTATTATTTTTTAATACTTTTTATGTTATACATATTTACATATTAATATTTTAAATTATTTATGTATTTATTTATGATGGCACTGAGTCTTTGTTGCTGTGCACGAGCTTTCTCTAGTTGTGGTGAGTAGGGGCTAATCTCTAGTTGCAGTGCATAGGCTTCTCATTGCAGTGGCTTCTCTTGTTGCAGGACACTGGCTCTAGGTGTGTGGACTTCAGTAGTTGTGGCATGTGGGCTTAGTTGCCTCACAGTATGTAGAATCTTCCCAGACCAAGGATCGAACCCATGTCCCCTGCACTGGCAGGTGGATTCTTAACTACTGTATCACCAGGGAAGTCTTGTAATCATTATTATTTGTGATGCATGCTCTGCACCTCGAACAAGGCCTGGCACAGAGAAGATCCCTAAAAAACATTTGTTGGATGGTTTAATGCATGAAATACTCCCTGGAAAGAGGTCGGCAGCTGTGCCTCCAGTGTAGATGAGTCCGTCACAAAGGGACCTGGAGTTCTGGTCTCAGAGAACCTAGGGTCCCCGAGTTTCTAGGTCAGACAAAACCAGGAGGAAGGAGATTGGTTCAGGAGGTTTTATGTCCAATGCATGTCAGGCTGTGCATGTGCTGTGCGCTCAGCTGCTCAGTCGTGTCCGACTCTTTGCGACCCCGTGGACTGTAGGCCACCAGGCTCCGCTGTCCATGCAATTTTTCAGGCAAGAATACTGGAGTGGGTTGCCATTTCCTCCTCCAGGGGCTCTTTCGGACCCAGGGATTGAACCGGAGTCTCCTGCATTGACAGGTAGATTCTTTACTGGTGTACCACCAGGGAACCTCTTATGAAGAGCAGTAAATATGACGAATAATAGTTAAGAATATGGGCTCTAGAGTCAGAAACTTAAATTCAAGTCCTCACTCTCTGTTACTACTAGTTGTATACTTACTTCCTAATAGTGCCTCAGTTTCCTTATCTATAAAATGGGGATGCCTACCTTGAAGGAAAGTTGGGTGATCAGATATCCTATGGAGGAGGTAAACCCTCCTATACCCAGCCCTGGTTCATAGAAATACTGATGACAAGCCTAACAAGGTCAACAGCAGCTGGCCATGATGGAACTCGTCCCATGGGCCAGTTCATCCTATGCCAAGTGCTTTTCTTACCATGCTCTCCCTCATGTGGGCTTTGCGTTCCTCTGCTAAGGCTGTGACATGTTAGAAATGCCTAAGCTGCACCCTTGGCCAAAAGGCTGCTGAGAAAAGGCAAATTCTCTATTTGGCCCCAGCAAAGATTGGATTCCATGGAGGTGACATGGCTCCTTGGGAAACTGTCCCCCTGGGAATGGTGGTCTCCAAAGAATCCAACTGGGACGTCCCTCCCAAGCACCAGTGCAAGCATCTCACAGTCACCATGCAAAAGCCTCCAGAGCAGTCCCAGTCCCTATGGGGGGTGCAGACCCTGCTGTGCTCAGCTTCCCTATTCAAGACCCCCAGACTCACCAATTGGCCTGCTTATGGGAAGGAATGAACATTTGTTGAGCCAGAAATTTTACAATCTTGGTTTCATGTAATCCTCACAGCAAGCCTGCAGGTGGGCACCTGGAGGTCTCTATGGACCAGCTACAAAACCCTGAACAAACTACTCAATCATCCATGCCTCTGTTTCCTCATCTGTGAGCACTAGGCAAATATCCTTATGCAATAAACCCATTTTGCAGAGAAGGATGTTGAAGCACTGCAGGAAGGGAGGTGCTCTGTTCAAGGTCATATAACTAACAAGTGATGAAGCTGGAGCAGTATGACTTCACAGTTCCATCCATCCATTCATTCATTATCAATTCTGTTTTGAAGGCACACCCAGTACTATGCGCTGGATCCAAACTACCTCTCTTAAGCATTCATAGATTGTATTATGATATTATACTGAAACTATATTTTTAATTTTCTAAAACCACAGTGATTCAACAGAAATCAATATATTTTTTATCTTTAAACAAAATTATATTGATAGGTTCTAATAAAGTTTTTGCTTGTTCTTTATTTCAGTTTTTGTAGATTTTTTAAAAGAAATAATAAAATAGAACCACTTAGAGTTTGACTAAAATAAATAAGAAATAAAAAATATTCATGATGCAGTGGCACAGAAACAGTTAAACCCCCAAAGACTAAGTTATTTACTATCTGGCCCTTTATAAAACAAGTTTGTTGACCTCTGATCTACTTGAAGTGACAAATAGATTCAAGGGATTAGATCTGATAGAGTGCCTGAAGAACTACAGACAGAGGTTCATGACATTGTACAGGAGGCAGTGATCAAATCTATCCCCCAAAAGAAGAAATGCAAAAAGGCAAAATGGTTGTCTGAGGAGGCCTGACAAATAGCTGAGAAAAGAAGAGAAATGAAAGGAAAAGGAGAAAAGGAAGGATATATCCATCTGAATGCAAAGTTTCAAAGAAGAGCTAGGAGAGATAAGAAAGTCTTCCTAAGTGACAATGCAAAGAAATAGAGGAAAACAATAGAATGGGAAAGACTAGAGATCTATTCAAGAAGATTAGGGATACCAAGGGAACAATTTCATGTAAAGATGGGCACAATAAAGGGCAAAAATAGTATGGACCTAACAGAAGCAGAGACATTACTTTGCCAACAAAGGTCCGTCTGGTCAAGGCTATGGTTTTTCCAGCAGTCATGTATGGATGTGAGAGTTGGACTGTGAAGAAAGCTGAGCGCCAAAAAATCGATGCTTTTGAACTGTGGTGTTGGAGAAGACTCTTGAGAGTCCCTTGGACTGCAAGGAGATCCAACCAGTCCATCCTAAAGGAGATCAGTCCTGGGTGTTCATTGGAAGGACTGATGCTGAAGCTGAAACTCCAGTACTTTGGCCACCTCATGCGAAGAGTTGACTCATTGGAAAAGACCCTGATGCTGGGAGGAATTGAGGGCAAGAGGAGAAGGGGACGACAGAGGATGAGATGGCTGGATGGCATCACCGACTCGATGCGCATGAGTTTGAGTAAATTCTTGGAGTTGGTGATGGACAGGGAGGCCTGGCGTGCTGTGATTCATGGGGTCGCAAAGAGTCGCACACGACTGAGCGACTGAACTGAACTGAACTGAACTGAACTGAAGCAGGCAACATGGACCACAGCCTTGTCTAACTTAATGAAACTATGAGCCATACTGTGTAGGGCCACCCGAGATGGCCAGGTCATGGTGGACAGTTACAACAAAACGTGGTCCACTGGAGAAGGGAATGGCAAACCACTTCAGTATTCTTGCCTTGAGAACCCCATGAACAGCATGAAAAGGCAAAAAGCTAGGACACTGAAAGATGAACTCCCCAGTGGGTAGGTGCCCAGTATGCCATGGGAGATCAGTGGAGAAATAACTCCAGAAAGAATGAAGAGATGGAGCCAAAGCAAAAACAACACCCATTTGTGAATGTGACTGGTGATGGAAGTAAAGTCTGATGCAATAAAGAGCAATATTGCCTAGGAACCTGGAATCTTAGGTCCATGATTCAAGGCAAATTAGAAGTGGTCAAACTGGAGATGGCAAGAGTGAACACTGACATTTTAGGAACCAGTGAACTGAAATGGACTGGAATGGGTGACTCTAACTCAGATGACCATCATATCTACTACCGTGGGCAAGAATCCCTTAGAAGAAATGGAGTAGCCCTCATAGTCAACAAAAGAATCCGAAATGCAGTACTTAGGTGCAATCTCAAACACGACAGAGTGAATTCTGTTTGTTTCCAAGGCAAAACATTCAATATCACAATAATCCAAGTCTATGCCCCGACCACTAATGCCAAAGAAGCTGAAGTTGAACAGTTCTATGAAAACCTACAAGGCCTTCTAGAACTAACATCCCCAAAAGATGTCTTTTTCATTATAGGGGACTAGAATACAAAAGTAGGAAGTCAAGAGATACCTGGAGTAACAGGTAAATTTGGCCTTGGAGTACAAAAACGAAGCAGGTCAAAGGCTAACAGAGTTTTGCCAAGAGAACGCACTGGTCAGAGCAAACATACTCTTCCAGCAACACAAGAGAAGACTCTGCACATGGACATCACCAGATGGTCAACACTGAAATCAGATTGATTATATTCTTTGCAGCCAAAGATGGAGAAGCACTACACAGTCAACAAAAACAAGGCTGGGAGCTGACTGTGGCTCAGATTACGAACTCCTTATTGCCAAATTCAGACTTAAATTGAAGAAAGTAGGGGAAATCACTAGACCATTCAGATATGACCTAAATCAAATCTCTTACGATTATACAGTGGAAGTGACAAATAGACTCAAGGGATTAGATCTGATAGACAGAGTGCCTGAAGAACTACAGACGGAGGTTTGTGACATTGTACAATGGGCAGTGATCAAGACCATTCCCAAGAAAAAGAAATGCAAAAAATCAAAATGGTTGTCTGAGGAGGCCTTAAAAAGAGCTGAGAAAAGAAGAGAAGTTAAAGGCAAAGGAGAAAAGGAAAGATATACCCATTTGAATGCAGAGTTCCAAAGAATAGCAAGGAGAAAGCCTTTCTCAGTGGTCAATGCAAAGAAATAGAGGAAAATAACTGAATGGGAAAGACCAGAGATTTCCTCAAGAAAATTAGATACCAAGGGAACATTTTATTCAAAGATGGGCACAATAAAGGACAGAAATGGTATGGACCTAACAGAAGCAGAAGATATTAAGAAAAGGTGGCAAGAATACACAGAAGAATTATACAAATAAGATCTTCAAACCCAGATAACCATGATAGTGTGATCATTCACCTAGAGCCAGACATCCTGGAATGCAAAGGGGAGTGGGCCTTAGGAAGCAACACAACAAACAAAGCTAGTGGAGATGATGGAATTCCAGCTGAGTTATTTAAAATCCTAAAAGATGATGCTTTGAAAGCACTGCACTCAATATGCAAGAAAATTTGGAAAACTCAGCAGTGGCCACAGGACTGGAAAAGGTCAATTTTCATTCCAATCCCAAAGAAAGGCAATACCAAAGAATGTTCAAACTATCGCATAACTGTACTCATCTCACACGCTAGCAAAATAATGCTCAAAATTCTCCAAGCTAGGCTTCAATAGTATATGAACTGAGAACTTCCAGATGCTCAAGCTGGATTTAGAAAAGGCAGAGGAACCAGAGATTAAATTGCCAACAGCCACTGAGAATTGAACTGACCTATTCGATGAAATATTCTGCATCCTTTAAAAACATGATTATCTTTATATTTCAGGTTGATAAAAGCAAGCTACAGTTTTATATACTGGATGATTTTGCCTATGTAAAAAGAACTCTATATACAAAACCACATGAAAACTGAACGTAAAAAACTCAGAAAAATAGACGAAAGTATTAACAGTTTGGGGGGGGATAGAAACACAGTAATGATTTATGCTTTTTATTTCCTTGTACTTGTCTTTACTTTCTAATTCTTAGGAAACAAACAAGTATTATACAATTGAAAAATCATGTTTTAAAAAGAGAGATGCATAGTTGAACATCTCAGCTCTGGACATCCTAGGAGCCAAGGTAAGGAGTGAAACAAGATGGGTTTTATTGTCAGTGGTTAAGAAAGAGCCAGAGAACTACAGAAATGCAATCCTCCTGGCCCAGACTTCTGAAAGACTTGGTCACCATGGTCTTTGCTTCAAGGGTATCAAAAAACGCAGCGCACAACTTAACTCTTTACTAATGCACTGAGGTATTCCATGCATATATGACTACTGTTCAAGTATTGACTTTCGAATGATGTCAAAGAGAAAATATTAAGTTATGATTCCATAAGGCAATTCTAGTGGCCAGGGTGATAAAGGAGTTTATAGCTCAAGGAAAAACTTGTGGAATCTTGTGGGGAAAAGCGTCAATGTATCCAATAAACCCATACACTTTCTGCAGAGAATTTTTTTCTCAGAAAACAAAACTTACATTGAAGACCAGTGTGTAAAATAGATAAAGATGAGGTGCCTTGGCACACGTTGAGTAGGGCATGTTTTAGGTCACCCTCACAACTTTCTCCAGGACTGCCCCTGAATGGGGTTCTGTGTCACCTCGAGGTGTTCTTGGAGCCCCGCTGGCAAATGGCTCCATTCGACCACCCCTTGGAGACCTATAGAGTCTCTTGTCCTTTGCCAGGTTGAGGGCACTGGTGAGAGCAGCAGAAAGGATGTTCTGTGCTCACAGAAGGCAGAGCCATGTCCTGCGGAAGATACAACTATGAGGGCAAAGACAAGGTTTCACTGTGGATGTTGAAAAGTACAGGTCATAACTGTGCTTTTATGAAGGGCATTGGGTTGGGTAGGAAAGGACATGGCATTCTGAAAAGGCAGTTCTGGGGCCATCTGAGGCTCTGACAGGTGGCAGGCTGATGCCCAAGAGGAGAAGGGCCTTTGGTGGGTGGATAAGCCTAGAGGACAAATATCCAAACCAAGATTACAGTCTCATTTCTGTTTGAAGCCTGAAGAACAAGACACAGTTAGCAATGGGATGTGGGACAGTACAGTGAAGTGGTTGAGAGGGGGCTCTGGATCAGATTTGAATCCTCCTCTGCTACTGACTTGCCCATGGGAAAATAATCAACTCTTCCCAAGCCTCAGTTTCCTCACCTGCAGAAAAGGAAAATGGTAGCCATATGATAGAACGGTTGCGAGGATTAAATGAAATACTGTCTGCCAAGTGCTTACCGCCTTACCTGCCCCATGGTAGATGCTTCATAATGGTTTGCTATTTGGCCCAAGGGGCCT